TTCAGCCTCCCCAGGATCCTGTCCACGTCCTCGGGAGCCACAGAGTCAAACTCCTCCCATATAATAGTCTCAAGACCTGCTCCCGTCTCCTCCCCCGGGGCCACCCAGTCGGAGTCTAAACCCTCTCGGATCTGAGCGACTTTGTCATACAGATATTGAGCAAAATCCTCAGCCCTCCCCACCAGGGGGTCCCCCCCTCCCCTCAACTGAAGGAGAGAGCGGGTCACCCTGAAGAGGGTGGCCGGGCGATTATCTGATGATGCAATGAGGGTGGAGTAGTAATTAGACCTCGCCACCCTCATTGCCACAAGGTAGGATCTAACATGCATCCTTGCCTGTGCTCGGTCGGATTCGGTTCGGGTAGCCCTCCAACTGCTCTCTAGGCGTCTTTTCCTAGATGGCTCTTTCTGTGTCTTTTGCTCCTAAAAGCTATGGAGATCTTCCAGTTTAGTTTAGATTTACCACTGGGCATACATGCTAGTAATTCTTCTGGGCCAGAGTCCCGGTCCACATACCTTATTTTCTCCACAGCACCATTTGTCTTGATCTTCAGTTGCCATTTGTGATTGCTTTTAGGAGAAGGAAATTATATAGGGAAATCAGGTCACAGATTGGATTCAGGAAAAGTCTACAAAATAGCTGCTAAGGAACAATGAGACCTTTTTTGTTTGTTTGCCTGCTTTCTAAAAGCACATTAAATTGAAGACCAAAATAGATGTGACATTACTCACACTGGTTTGATGTTTTTGTTGCTTTGCAAATAAAGAGCCAGGTCCTGCTATGAAATATATGCATTTTATTTTTTTTTACTCGTCCAGGTCCCAATTCAATTTTTTTTCCACAGGATGTTTCCAAACAGAGACCAATAAAAATATGAAAGATCAGAGAGCTGAGTTTTATTTAAAAAGGACAGAGGGAAGAGACAACTATCTCTTTCTTTCTGCTCCTGGATTAGTAGCCCAGGTATTAAAAACAAACAGAAATAACAGGTTGAAAAAAAAGCCTTGACTTTTTTTGGCCAGGAGAGGGAGTGCTCTCTCCTCCTCTTTTCTAAGTTTTTCAGCACTCCTGCTTCATGGGATATCAGTGCTTTTTTTTTCATCTGGGAAAAAAAAACAGGGAAAGCCAAATGGAAGGGTGGACCATCCTGCATGAGTGTGCCTGCGTGTGTGTTTGAAATATGTTTCCTAAGCTTCTGTAAACAGTGATACTGTTACAATGCTAGACCAAATGTTCAATTCCTCATAAGTCTGTCAGAAAGTTTATTTTACCTTCTCAGCCGCTCTAACAAAACCAGATCTAACACAGTGATACATGAGGAAAAATTAACATTGTTTAACATTCTTTGGAAAATAATGAAGGAGCTGTAATTGTCATAACAGAAAGGGTGTTTTTCTTCTCCCAAATAAAATTGGAATGAGGAAGATTTCTATGTGAAAATGTTTCTTACCTGTTTTTGTCTACTTAGTTACATATGTATCAATGTATCTTCATCAGAAGCCAGAGGTTTTAATTGCCCAGAACTGTTTCTAGGGTATGAGGGTGGTCTGTGGATATTATTCCACTATTTATGGGAGCTCAGTTTTGAACAGTGCTCTGAAATTTTGTTTGGTCTGCAGGGGAGACTATGGAATCTTGTGGGCTGGACCATTTTCCTGGTGAGCCAAAGAAGCACATTCCAGAATATCAGGTGAGAGGGAGAGAAGAAGAAGAAGGTCCATGATGGTGGCAGGATCCAGGAGTCAGATCTAAGATTTTTTCTTCTTCTTTTTGGCAAACTATAACAATCCTAGATTAACTATTGTTTCAAAGCCATCCAGGTGGGCAATTTTAATAAGCCCTTGGTCAGAGCCTTACAATATATTTATTATTTATTCAATTTTTATCTCCCCCTTATTATTTTTATAAATAACTCAAGATAGCAAACACATCTAATACTCCTTCCTCCTCCTATTTTCCCCACAACAACAACCCTAGTAGGTGGGTTGAACTGAGAAAGAGTAACTGGCCCAAAATCACCCAGCCACCTTTCATGCCTTAGGCAAGACAAGAACTTTAGCCACTACACCAAACTAGCTCTCCTATATATGCCACCTGTCTTTCTGACTCTGCTTTTTAAAGTTAGGGACCACTGAATTGGGATATCTCAATTTCTTGTATCCCACTAGTGACTCATGCCTTATAAAAAGCAGCAGTTTTATAATGAAATTGGATGTGTGAAATTTAAATACTAGGACTAAATTCTGCCAAAGGTTTCTAGTTGGTCTTGAGAAAGTCACTTATCTCCCACTTTCCATCTTTAACAATACTGATTTGTTATAGGAATGGAAACAATGTTGATTTGTCTCACTAGATTTTCTGTGATATTAATTGATACAAGGAAAGACTTTGACTTAGTGTCAGTTTTAAAGATAGGATGGTTTAGGCTACAAACAAAGCTATCATTTAGTTATCTCTATGGAACTGCTCTGTTTGGGTTACCTTGTGCTGATGTTTTCTCTTTGATGTCAGGCCAATTCACGGACCCGGACTGTCTCTGAGAGTTCCACAATAACCCTTTCAGAAGATACACCTCAGTCCCCAGAAGCCTCCTGGGATGAAACCTCATCGGAGAAGAAATTAGTGGAAAATACAGAGCAAGAGGTACTGAAGGTGAGGCAATCTTGTTGAAATGTCAATTGTATTATCTGAAAATTATGCAGTTGTGAATGCTAGGATTATATTCTATTCTATCTTGAAGATGGTGGGTTTATTGTAGAAAATTGATCCATGCTGAAATTCATTCAACACATAACTGCATTGTGGCAGCCAATTTAAATTAACTAAAAAATAAGCAGTGTTATATTTTTCATTTGTTACGTTCCAGTGAGTATTATGCAAGCTTTAGTTATCTGGGAAAATCAATTTAGATCTAGCAAAAGAGACTATCGTTGATTTACTTATTTACTTTAAATGTATCTATATGCTTTAATATGTGTTTGTGTATTTATACATTTTTTTTAAAAATTTTTTTTTTCAAAAGGTCAATAGCAATAGGGACATCTGGATTTCTGGAAGGAGGTTGATAAACAGGGTAAATGCAATTGACAAAGTCTCCTCCTATTCCATGGTCCTTATATGAGGGAGGAAGCCTAAGTGTCTCTGCTCAAGATGCACAAGCTGAATGGATTTGATCTACTTGAAATAGATACTCATGAATGATTTTAAAAGTCAAAATCAGCAAATTCAATTGTACCTGAAACCTGCTGGTGACCACTGTAGAGTCCTAAGCCCCAGCGTTAAGTCTGAATAATGACTCTCATTTTTTAATAGATAAGTTAGAGCAGTTATAGTCTCTGAGTAGTCTTGAAGTATAGACTGCTTTGCAAAAATCGAACTGGGACATGACAAGGGCAAGTCTCCTCCAGGAAGAGCTTCAAGTGATGCACAACCCAGTGCTGAGCAAAGGCCCCTTAATTATAATTTCCCACTATCTATCCACCAATAGCCATGAGTCTAAGTGATTCACAAATCATAGACTTGTTATTTCAAAGGGAGGACTACCTCTTCCAGAATTATCATTGGTTCAGAGAGAGGCAGCATATGGCAGTGGTTCTCAACCTGTGGTCCACGGACTCCCTGGGGGACTGCGATGTCATCACAGGGGGTCTGCGAAGAAGAAATGTTATGAATTAAATCTTGAGTTAAGTCCTGGTGGTGTGTGGCCATGATCCATAGCCATAAACAGTAATTAAAGTGAGTCTGTGATGAAGAAAAGGTTGAGAACTACTGCCATATATTTTTGGACAAACCGCAACTCAGTTTTCTTGGGCTTCAATTTTAATCTATTTCTTCCCAATCCATACAGCCTTCAGGCACTGGTCAGGGTCCCCATGATATCCTGGTATCACCAGCTTGGCCAGGATATATCAGAAAAGTTGCAATACCTGATCCCAAACTGATAGAGGTCTTCTCCCAGCAGTTTACATATACATATTAAACATACATATTAAACAGGAAAGAGAGAGAAGTCTTTGTCTCACCATATCGTAGTGGGTAAGGGGTAGAGCTCTCTTTCCCACTATTGCCATCTGAAACCATTCACTCATGAAATCATGGAACCACTGTAAAATATTGCTTCAGTTTATATATGATTTCAGGTTAGATGAAATTAGAACAGATTAAGTCAGACTATGAAAGTGTAATGGATCTTCCATGTTCGGAGGCAACATGCCATTCAAGATTAGATGTGAGGACGAACAAAAGGGAAATTTGTTTGTTTCTATGCCTACATATGGCCTCTCAGAAATATTTAATTGGGTTCTTTTGAAAACATAATGCTGGACCAGAAGAAGAATTACAGGAATGAAAAATCACTGTAGATGAAGAAGATGAGGTTGGGGGAGGCTCATATTCTCAACAGTAAAATTTGAGATTCTGGTTCTTCCTGCCCCTTACATAATTTCTATTTTACACAATAAGCCCTGTGACATGCTTATGGCTGGATCAGAGACTCAATGTCTTCTATGTCTAGAGGAAGAAAAGCCCAGCATGCTCCACTCAAGATTTTGTATCCCTCCAGACTTCTGGTTTTGGCTGGTTCCGATGGTTCCGTTCCAAGGCAAATAAAGATGAAGCACCATCTTTGGACTCAACTGCTTCAGTTTCTCAGGTAACAAAGAAACTTTTTAGAAGAAAGAGTTTGGGGTTTTTTGGGTGTGTGTGTGTGTTCAACAATGTGTCCTCTTCAGAAAAATCTCCTAGTGTTTCTCAGCAGCAGCAGAATCTAGCCAAACAGCAGGAGCTACCATGAATGGTCTTTTAACTGATAGCAGTTCTGAAAGTATCCAAGGAACTCCCAGCTTGAAAATATTATCCTAGATCTATCATTTTAGAAAGACTGAATACAAAAAGTGGGATCACTATTGCTTATACTGCACATTTGTGTTTTATAGGAAACCAGTAAGATACTGGAGTTGTTGGAGGCTTGCATTATATTTGCTAGAGGCTTATGTGGTGGGGAGAGGGTGACTGAACTACAAGGGAAAGGCTGGAAATGACAGCTTCATTTGACATAAAAAAGTTTAAGGATTAGCTTGTATGCTCAACAGAATCAAATAGTAAAGCTTTTGTCAGATTGCATCACCTTCAACTACTGTGAGGATCAAACTTTAGAGTGCCCCTAATGAACCCGAATAAAAAAAGAACAACTGTAAGTAAAAATGAATGCCACAGTCTGTTTGCCGATAGAAAAACAGCATGCCGAAGTGAAAACTTGGCAGGATCCTCTCTGACATTTCTTGTTTGTGCAGAAAGGTTTTCACATGGAGGAACATTCTTTTTTCCTTCTTGCACCCTGCAGTTGGTGTGTCTAAATAAAAATTCACAGATGCATTATTCATATGTTGTCTCTTGTATTGGTCGTCTTCTCTTCCACTGTCCTTCTCTCAGTCTTTGTCTGTTTGCTTTCCCACCTCAATTTCCAACTTTGCACATACTGCATAGGACCTCCAGTTCCCACTGTGAGTGTTTTGTTAATATTTATGATGTTGTTAAAGATTTATTGGATTTTTTCTCTTCCATCTATCCTGGCTTCAAGGTTAATTTTTCTCTAGCGTTGTTTTAATTCATTTCTTTTGTTTCTTCAGTACCTAAGAGATAAAGAAATACTTATTTTTATTGATTGCTTTGCACTTTCTTGTGTGGGAATAATAACATTGTTAATAAATACAGTTATTGATACAACAGCAGGCAACACCTGGGCAATCTTGAGTAATCTCAGAAAACTGGGTTGAATATGGTTAACACTTGGATGGAAACCACTAGGACGTTTGGGGGCTGTAAGCTAAACTGGGAAGTCAGAAAAGATCCAAAAGAAAGCAGTGGCAAATAAGAATTATATGTATTTAAATATATTGATTTAAATAATTGCCCTTCTCACAAATGTGACTCTGGATGGCTTACAACAAAAACAGCTAAACATTAAATAAAATACATATAATGAAAAAGATAAAAGAGACAGCAGCTGGAATCATAAACAATCATTAACATAAGCAAGAGCTGGGCTCCAAACACACCCAGAGCTTTGGGTTCGGGCACAAAAGCAGGACCAGCAGAGTCAGGACCATGCTAACCTCTGGAGGGATGATGTTTCAGAGGATGGATGCCACAGTGGAAAAACTCTTCTACTCCTTGGCAGTCGTCACCCTGATGGGACCAAGAGCATACTTCTGTTGCTGGATTAGGCAGGATGGATAGAAACAACCAGGAAAAGACTTCCTACAAGTAACCTGGTCCCAAGCTAGGAAGGGCTTTAAAGGTAACAACCAGCACCTATAATTGCATCTAGAAGCAAAGCAGTAGCCAAAGTAGCTCAAAGAGTAGTGATATGGTAACTGGCTACTATCTGCTACTCAAGCAGGACCTTGAATCCAAGAGGACCCCCACAACTGTCAGAGGCAGTGCTACTCCATCCAGGACAAAAGATGGAGGACCTTAGCTCTAGGAGATCCAAAACTCTCAAGCCACTCAGTCTTGTTTGGGTTGAACTGAAGCCTGTTGTACTCAACTCGAGCCCTTACAACTTCCAGGCACTGAGATAGAATCTCCATGACAGCAACCTGAAGTTAACTTTCAATTTCTTGGCTAAATTGGCCAGTTTCTGAAGTAAATGTACAGCCAGATGGCATATAATTAGCTTTCTTTTTTGGGGGGGGGGGGAATCAGAAAATAAGAATAATTAAGTCAGCCGATGTGTGCTACAGCAGTTATAGGTAAAATGGTGTCATCAAGAATAAGATGGTCATGCTTAGGAGAACCTAGGAGTTTTTAGAAATACTCCTCCCTCCATTGAGTTTTTCCCCCTTCAAATGGTCCAGTTAAGACCAAATATGTTTAGTAGCCCCACACTGAGCACACTGTGGCTACAGATGTGGTTACAGATTTTATTACAGGCACAAAATGTTGACAAATGAAGAGAGATGTTTTGTATCAACAAGTGTCAGCCCTGGTGATGTTCATGATGTATCAGTTCTTTCTTCCCACATTGATCCTGCTTCTCTCTCTTTCAGTTATATGAATTAATTGTATTCCTAAAGCATTTTGAATAATAATGGTTAGTAAAAAGGAACTTTCCAATATAATGAACAGACTGAGCTCACAATGTAGCAGTGGGAAAAAGACCTTCTGATCAGTTTGCTTCATTTTGAATTCCCCTTTGCAAAAAATGAAAATTGGAAATGCAATGGAAGTGTACTTGCAGCATCTAAATTATATATTTCTTTGTAATGCCCTATCACAGCTATCTTGGTCCTTTGCTTTATTTTTAAACTCTTTTGGTGTAAGGTCCTTTGAACTACCAAAGGAAGAGCAAACCTGCCCTAAAGCTGAGCCCCTACATAACAACTAATGCTAACTATTGGGTAGCTCACATTCTTCTAGGACTTCTGGGAGTCTTGTGTGCTGTCAAATAGTTGCTTCATATTTCAGGATTTATTTATTTATTTAAAAGATGTATATGGTCAACCATCTTGTAAGTGCAGCTTTGGGTAGTGAACATCAGTATTAAAAACACAAACAATAAACCAATACAAAAAAGAAAACAAAAACAAAAACAGACACCCAATCTTGGTCTCTGGGCTCCAATCTTTCTATCCCAGCATGTGAGAAATGCCAATTCTTCACTGATTTAAGGAAAAATGGGGGCTTGCCAGATCTCAAGGGAAAGCATGTTCCACAATCTTCACAGGAAGGTTGGAGGTGATAGCCAGCAATTTATTTTATCACTATTAAATATTTTCCTTCTTTAGGAGAAAATCACTCAGTCCCTTTTGGTTTCACCCATGAATCAACATCATTGCCTTCCTCCTCTTTCTCCCACACAAGGCAATTCTTTTTCCAAGAGATCTCCAGGTAAATATAACCCTGCATGCTTCTGAATGAATTGATCAATATTTTGTTAGTTTAGTTGTAACTAAAGATTTTCTGGTGCTTTGAACCACAAGATGGGCAGCAAATAATAATAACAACAACAACAATAATAATAATACACATATTTTTTGGCATTTCATATCCTTTTTTGTGCACAAT